CCCGCACCCTTTCTGGATTCTGTCTGGGGAGCCCAGTGTTCCCCACCCAGCGGCCTCCTGCCAATGCTGCCCAGCCTGCAAGCACTCATGAGTGATGGAAGAAGCCTAGACTCTGGGCAGCCCAGGAGGGGTCTTAGGTTGGGGTCTGCAGGACCTCCCTTAGGTGACAGTGCATACCCCAACTAGTTAATCCAGCTCAGGGAAGGCTAGGGCCTTATCGGCTGCTTGGGCCTGGAAAGGCGGGGGGTTGACAGGGCCAAAGCAAGCAGTAGCCCTCACAAGTGGGGTAACAAACAGAAAAAAACTCACAAAGGCATTCAGGTCTGAGCGAGCTGGAGACAGGTGACAAGAGAAGCACGGGGACAGGTAGACCGTGGTTATAGGAAGAAGGGTCAGGGGAGGGGACCGTGGTGTCTTCAATCATCAGTCCCTCCTTGCAGCTGCCTGGAACCTTCCTCCAGGGCCAGGTTCTCCAGATATTGCCCTAACCAGGTCTGACCCTAACCAAGCTTGACCCTAACCAGGTCTGACCCTAATCAGGCTTGACCCCAACCAGGTCTGACCCTAACCAGGCTTGACCCCAACCAGGTCTGACCCTAACCAGGCTTGAGCTGGTCAGAGCAAATTCCAAACCACCTTGACAGGAACCACCTGCTCCTGCTCCCACAGACATTTTTCCATCTGAGTGCAATGATATTCTTTACTTCCTGCCCCTAGTGAGAAGAGCTAAATTAATTTTTGTAATCGCCTATGTTTGTAGCAGAGTAATTACCCCATGTTAATTAGCTGTGGGAATAAAATATAAAAAGTAATCCTGTGTAGGGATGGCAGCAGAATTTTAAAATGAAGGCCCAATCAATCAAGCTATTCTCTAGACTTGGGATGGAAGAATATTTAGCTAGAAAAGAGCATTTTTCACCTACAGTGTACATGTAGTTTCCTAGATAGAATAAATGCATAGATCCTTTACGGACGTTACATTGGCACATTACAGTCAAAAGAAAACTCAATCCCGAGGATTGCACTACATATCGAAAGATATGATTGTTTAGTCTTTGGCTGCAACTGCAGTACTTGATCATCTCAAATGGATTCTTCCGAGGGAGAGGAGGGTAATTAAGATATGCTCCCTTAAAGCTACATAAGGGTCCGGAAAATGAAAAACCAACAGGGGCCATGTGATCTGAGCCTTGCCATAGCCAAAGATAGCTTTTGGTCTTTTCCAGGACAAAAGAGGGACATTGGCTAGGGACGGAGATGAGGATATCATCTGGGGAACCCGGCGTTAATCGAGTATCGATGAGGTTTGACTTAATAAGAACCGATCACTAGCACCCCTTCCCCCAGGAGGGCCGACCCACACGGCAGGCTGAGCTGGCGAGGGCTGATGGGCTGGCCCTCAGCCCCAGTTTGGCTTCTAACTGGCCACTGGACTGTCTCTTGACCTCCCCAAGGCTAAATTTTCTGTTCAATGGAAAGAACAATCCCTACTTACACCACAGGGCAGTGTGGAGATTCAAAACAGACAGAGCACTTTAGGAGCTGGGTGAGTCTACGACACAGGAGGGACCAGGTGAACGAAGCTATTAGGGCACCCATGAGGCTAAAGTTTATACCAACGGACCTACAGGGTCCTCGGCCTCCCCCTGAGCAACTTTATTAGGAAAAATCCCACTTGTTCCTCTGCTTGAAACCCAAGGAACCCAATGTCTAAATAGAGAAGCAAAAGGAGAACCTTAACTCGGTAACCGGAGTAGCTAATACTGATGTGAGTCCAGAACAGAAGCCTGGCCATGGGAGGCTGGCTGCAGGCCCACGCTAAAGCCAACGGAAGGGACACAAGCTTGAACGCTTCCTCCTTTCGAAATTCAGGAGGCCTTAAAGAGCACAGTCACAAATTCCAGCGTGAGTCACGATCTCGATCAGGAGGAGATTAGCTACTGGACTTAAACTCAACACCAAGTTTCAAACGACTGATTTCCGGTGAATGGCTAAAAGCCTCCCTTCTCGGGTCACCATGGTCCATTCCCTACATTCTTCCTTGCAAAATATCCCGATATTAAAAGTGCATCACATCTGATAGACTCTTGCAATAGAAACGTTAAAAAAATAAAAACACCTCTATATAAAATTAATTGTGCTTTCTCTTTCGAAACCATGACTGCTCTCTGTTCATAAATCTTTTTCGTACATACTTTAGAGCTGTGAAGCAGTCAAACATGGTTTTAGAGTTTCCTACCTACTTTTGAAATCCGCCTTCCATCCTTGGCCTTTTTATGTGTTCAGCTAGAAATATGTGTTCAAGAAACTTAGCTCTACACATTCTAAGTTAAAGTTTTCATGTGTCTTCAGAGACCAGAAAGCAGCACACTGCTTTTCAGAACCTTTGTGTCATTCACCATTATTTCTGGCATACGCTCGTTGTGACTCGGCAGGTTATGAAATTTGGTGGGCATATCAACAATCAGGTCTTTCAACAGGATGGTTTTGAAACTAGAGCATCAACGAAGAAATGACAAACCCAAACGGACAGGACATGGGGTCACAGAGAAGGTCTGGAATGTTCTGCTGTAAACCATGACCTCCACTGTGTCTCTGAGTTAGCACCCGTTTTGGTGTTAGTCTCCCACCTCTTTCTAGGTTCCAAACCAAACATCACGATACGCATCGGATCCGTTTTTCATAAGCATTACCTTTGTGGTCCTTGATCCGATCCTTTTGTGTGGAATGAAATTTTCAAGTACGATGACCATGTGATGTTTTATTTGTCAAATTCCATTGCTCATTCTCTGAATGCATCAATAAAAGTGAGAAGCATATTTGCTCATTTTCTCTCTCCTGCTGGGAGAAAATGTTTCCATTCTTCCCATTTTTTTCCAGAAAGAGGGGTGCAATGTTTACCATCACGGTCTCAAGCCCCATCAGGTTGAGGCCCGGTCCCCTCTGAACCATGAGCACTTCCCCAGAACTCGAGGCTCTTGGTAGCATGTGCTGCCTAAGAAGCCACTCCTCCGGCCTGGAGGTGACACCGCAGAACACGTCTCTAGTTTGCACTTGCCCCGGAAGACCTCAGGCTCACCAGCCGCCTCATTTCTGAGGCTGCCCGTGTAACCAAAAGACAGATTGCACACGCAAGTCCCTTAGACTAAAGTGTGCAGGAGAGAGGTGAGACACGCGACACATCCCTGTGGCTGGCAGCTCAGCAGGCCGTGGTGCTGCTCACAGAAGGGTCCCTGAATCCTGCCTTGGAGGGTAGAGCTGCGAGGACGAGAAGGACGCCCCGCAGCCTGGCCTGAGACCAGACAGAGCCCACGTCGGCTCTCCTGTCCAGCGTGTGAAAGAGCAGACGGTGGCTGCCGACGCAGGAGAGACCTGTGGTGGGGGAGGAGAGAGAGGAGGACGCCAGCGTCCTGGGGTGCCAGGACGGCTCCCGGGGGCAGCAGTTCAGCTTTAATCGTCTTCCCGGCACATGGGCAGATTGACGAAGGTGAAGACGTTAAACTCTATCATTATGGAGAAGCACAGGAAGATGGCGTAGAGAACCAGTACGTAGATGCCCAGCTTCCGGTCCAGCTGCCATTTGTTCAGATGGATGCCGATGACCTGCCAGAGAGAGGGCGAGAGCTGGACTTGGGGACCAAGAAACGCAAAGGGCACTTTTAGTGGGAATGACACAGCAGTTATGAACCCTCCAACTTTCCGAGAATGTGGACAAGAGCAGAGGGTGTTGACAGGTCTACCTTTGGTGAGGCCAGAATGTGCCCTGGAGGCTTTTGATTTATTTGTCCATGGAAGGCCGAGTCTCTGGTCCAGACCCACTGGCTTGAGTGACACACAGGACAGCCCTCCCCAGGCAGGCCCACCTACCAGCCCAGGCCTTCTCCAGGGACAGAGTCCTTTGCTGGATGGTCCCTTTGTTGTCACTCATAACCTGGCATCGTGGCCTTTGATGCTCAGCTCATTTTCCAAGGCTCCTATGGGCCATGACCTGGCGTGCTGCAGGAGGACCCTCTTCTCTTGGTGGGTGTGTGTTTAGGGGAGGAGCTGGAGCAGATCTACATTTTCCCTGACTCTCCTTCCCCCTTCCCTCCCACTGCCCTCTTCCTTCTTATCTCCAAGACTTAGGCTTCCTGGGAACTAAATCCGGAGCCCAGGGGCAAAATGTCATAATGACAGACTGGGACCAGCAGTTAGCGTAATGGCTATGTCGCTGGACTCCCATGTGGTCGACCGCGGTTCGCGTCCTGGACCCAGTGGCTTAAAACTCACGCCGGGTACGTGTGCGTGCGTGCCCAAGATCCCGAGAGGAGAATGGAGGAGAAGGGATTGCGGTGTGGCCATCACCCCGGGGGGTGATTTCT